AGATGGAAGGCCTGCAGATGCATCATTATCAATTCTTACTCTAAGGTCTCACAAGAGAAAACACAAATGTAAACTCAAAAGAACAGAAGGCACTACAAACGAGCAATACTATTCTGTTTAATTTTGATTAAAGGATCAAATAGGATCTATCTAGAGACAGGATAGTATCAACAAATACCACCCTCTAAACAGAAATTAATGGTCAGAAAACACCAGATAAAATCAATAATCTATAGAAATTATCCCCAGAAAAACCTTCTAACAAGAAATACAAAAATCTGAGCATAAGATAAAAACATTAGCTGAGCATGATGGTACATAACTGTGATCCCAGCACTCTGGGTGCTTGAGGAAGGTGGTTCCCAAGTTTCAGCCCAGCCTCGGTAACTTAGTGAGCTTTTGTATCAAAAATAAAGAAGGGCTTGGGATACAGCTCAGTGTGGAAGCCTTGGATTCAATCCCCAGTATTGGGGGTGGGGGAGAGGCTTAGGGGCCAAACATTTTAGCTAAGTCTCTAAAGATATGCTGAAACATTGAAAAGCATAACTGAGTAACATCCACAATATAAGTTTATAAATGTCCAAGTATTAGTAATTCATAAGTGAGGGGAAAATTGAAGAATTTTCATCTTAGAAATACAGATACATTGGCCTAACATGCAAGGGCCTGGGTTAGATTTCCAGCACCACAAAAAGGGACAAGGTAGTGAAAAAAAGTACCCACCTACAAGTAACGGGCTCCAGAGTTAAAACCTTTCTGATACAGATAGGATAGACTGGAGGGTTGGGGAAACTGTATGGGGCTCTGTGAGGCTTACGGAATATTTATGCTGATAGTAGGAGAAAGGCAAAATGTTTCAGATTTTAGGGCATTTTGTGTTTTCAGATTAGGGAAATTCAACCTGTATTATCTCTTACAAATGATTTTCTCTATTTGTGCGAATTTTAACATAACCTTCAAGAACAGGAAAACTGCCAGGGATACAGCTCAGCAGCACAACACCTCCCTGGCAAGCACAAGGTCATGAGTTCGATTTCTGGTACCAAAAACAAAATAAAACAAAACACACCAGGAAAACTTCCTAAAGACTAACACTAGTCCTTAGGACTGAGTATCTGGCCTACTGAGAAGACAGCACACTTTCCAAATTACAAAACACAGGGCTGGGCGTGGTGGCACACGCCTGTAATCCCAGCACTCGGGAGGCAGAGACAAGAGGATCACTGCGAGTTTGAGACCAGCTTGGGTTACAAAGTGAGCTCAGGGCCAGCCTGAACTCAAGAGCGAGACCCTGTCTCATAAAGAAAAAAATCAAAACAAAACCAAATTACAAGACACTATACCTGGGTAACACAAGAGGGTTAAATTCAAGCCGGGCGTGGTGGCACACGCCTGTAATCCCAGCACTGGGGAGACTGAGGCAGGAGGATGGTTGTGAGTTCGAGACCAGCCTGGGCTACAAAGTGAGCTCAAAGCCACCCTGACCTGCATAGCAAGACCCTGTCTCAAAAAGACCAAAAAAAAAAAGAGTTGTTCCCGGTACCGGAGAAAAACCAAAAAAAAAAAAAAAAGAGGGTTAAATTCAGTAAGTTTAACATTTCAGAACACCAAACCCAGGAGGCTACAAAATGAATGAGAGCTGGGTATAAGTGGCCCACACTTATAATCCCAGCACTCTGGGAGGCCGAAGCAGACAGGAAGATCACAAGGTTGAACCCAGCCTGAATCAAAAAAAAAAAAAAAAAA